ATCGTATCGCTCTTGGCCCATTTCTCTGATAGGAATTATATGTATAGTCTTGTTTTGTGTGATGCTATATTCGTCCTTGACCGATTCTGCGTTTAGCCTTAATCAATGAGGAACTGTGAGAGTTTTAGGGAAGTGTATCTAATTTCGTTAAGTGACAATGAATGTTACTGTGTAGTAAATAGCAGTTAAATTATCACACTGATTTTAAAGCCTGATGAGCATAAGATTAACTTTTTTGTTATAGCACCTTTCATTTCGTTTTAAGTGGCGAGTTGGAAGTATTCGTAAGTTGGCCTCATTGGAAGCTGTAGGGGGATTGTTTTGGAGCTGTGGTTGTAAATTTGAGCGAATAAATCCTCGGAACACCGCTCTGCGACGCCGATGAATCCTTTCTGAACCTTCGTCTGTCATAAGATGAACATCGTCAGAACAGGACATCATGCTTTACGCTAATTCACCGAGCACAAATACAAGTTGGCCGGCTGCAATCCTACCTACTTTTATAGTTTGGCTAGATCCACTTGGTGAAACATCTCATGATTTGGTTTCCTACATGCTCTGAATACCTCGCATGAATACTTCTTGTTGTTTATCCGCATCTATTATAATTGTTATTAATGTCTTAGGTTTGCGGCGATTTACTTAGGGTCATGAATTTTTTCAAGCAGCTTACATTTTAATAAATTATTTATTTTGAAACTTTTCTTGTAATATCTACCCTTTTATCTGATTTTTTAATTTCTTCTCTGCTATCCAGGTAGCTACAGAGAATCTTCGTCTCCCAATTCCACCTGATATCGATCCTCGCATGGCTCGTCTTATTGAGCTTTGTCTCAAAGAGGATCCTGGAAAGCGACCTAGATTTGATTTACAGATCCTTCAAATTCTGGATAAGATGCGCGAAAAGGCTGCAGCTTTAGCCATAAATCTGGTGGGTACTGTTGGGTCTGGAGGTCTCTCAGCAGCTAATTCCACACTTATGTCCAGGCTACCTACATATCTGCAGTCGGGACCAGGCCATGATTCTTCTCAGGGACTCGTATCGCCTATTCCTCCAGGCCCAGTTGGTATAACCCTTCAATAAAATTACTCATTAAGGGAAAAATTACGCATCTATCTGTTATAAAAACTGGATATCACAATTACTTTATATTTTTATCATTCTTTCTTCGCTGTCCTTTCAACACTCAGAATGTTCTGTTTATTTGAGTCTGTTTCCCATTTAT